TAAAAGGATTACATATGAGAGAAAATTCTAGCGCTCAATTGTTAGCCGGATTATCTTATACCTAAAAGGCTAAAAGCACTATATATGAGAGAAAGAATTAGCATGCTCAGTTGTTAGCCGAATTATCATATACTTAAAAAAAGCTACATATGACAGAGAAAGTTCCTCCGCTCGATTGTTAGAAAATTATTTTCTTATCTCCTCATAACTAAAATCACTACATATGAGAGAGCAAATTCTCCCGTTCAATTATTAGCTAGATAGGCAGTTTATCTTATACCTAAAAGCACTATATATGAGAGAATAAAATTTTCCCTGCTCAATTGTTTGCCGGATTATTTTATACTTAAAAGAGAGAAAAAGTTCTTCCGCTCAATTGTTTTATTTTGGCAAAACTTTCTAACCTATTATAGTCTCTGTTCTAACTTCCGCTCAATTGTAAGAAAGTTTATTTTCTTATCTCCTTATACCTAAAAACACTACATATGAGAGAGCAAATTATCTTGCTCAATTTTTAGCAAGCTTATCTTCTAATCATGTAATCATACCCAAAAGCACTACATATGAGAGATAAAATTATCCCGTTCGATTCTCCTGCTCAATTGTTAGCAAACTTATCTTCTAATATCTAAAAGCACTACATAAGATAGAGAAAATTTTCCCGCTCAATTAAGAAATTGTGTTTTTTTATATATATATTGTGCCCAGAAATTAATGCCACGTTTTTTTAAAATAAATATAGAAGGTGACCTTCCTTTGTTATATTTGTGTATTCGGTTACTTCATTATTATCCTTGAATTCGACACATGACATTTGTAGAGTAGAGGAGTAATTTGTGGGGAGAATGACACATAGGATTTATTAAGAATATAATTGTCTTTAGATGAGCTATTTTTTTCTTATATATATAAATAGACTACATGACTATATTTATCAAGGACCAAAATTACAGGGATTAATAATCCTTAAAACCCATTCAGAAAAAAAAACCTTGCAAAATATATTAAAATTCATAATTCTTGTGACGTTTCATATGACAGTAATATTGCACTTTTTTGAAGGTTTATCAAACAACTTCCTATTTTTTAACAACGATCATCTCGAATTAAGTAAAGAAATAATCTATAACTATGACCCAAATAAGTATAGTAGATAACATGTGACCTATTAACTTTTAATGATTATAATTATGTTTTAGATTTATATCAAACTAACTATAAGGAATAACCTTTGCAATAGATATTTGTGAATATAAAAATGATTATATTGGTTATAATTACACTCAGATAGTCACTTTGATATAATTTTAAAAATAATTATAAATATGTTACTTAATAAACCTTCGGATTTTGTTTTTAAAATTTTATATGCAATATTGGTCTCATATGAAAGATCATAAAAATATGAATTTCGATATATGTTTTGCAAAAAATAGAGCAAAAATGTAAAAGTTATAACACTTTACAGAAAATGGGTTGTTTTTATATGGATGGCCCCTCCAATTTTTATTATATTTAATCCAATGCATAAATTAACATTTTCATATTTAATTAGTGTAGAAGAATTTTATATTTAAGTCTATTACTTTCTTATATATAAACTGATGGTGTTTTTAAAGTGAAATTGTCTGAATCTACCAAAATTGATTAAATTCTGTCTGAAATGATTTTAAAGGAAAACTTTGTTTCTTATAATATCGATAAAAAAATAAAGATAAAGATCATATGTTAAAGATAAAGATCAGTTTTGTGGAAGGTAGGAAGTATATAAATATATATAATTTTAAGCATAATTATAGAGACCATTAATAAATTATATTTTTATATATTCAATATTAATCTCATATGAAAGATCACAAAAAAATATGAATTTTGGTATAATTTTTGTAAACATTGGAGTAAAAATGAAAAAGTTATAACACTTTAAAAAAATTGGAATTTTTTACAACTTGGGCCCCACCAACCCCATCTCTCCGCCTCTTCCTTTTCTTGGTTCGGTAGTTTTGAAGTAAATTAATTTTTTATTAATTTGATTGCTAGTTTTTGAACAGTTTTCTTCATAAAAGTATACCAGTATTAGTTTAATAAGACTATACAATATTTCAATTTTTTTTACATTCATGGTTTTTCATATCTTAGATGAATTGTTTTCAATCATTCACGCCATGTCTTGACCCATTTCATCTTTCAGATCTCTTATTGATAGTGAACAAATCTTTCAAGTCCTAGATTAATAAAACTTATAAGCTTACGTACTATATAAAATAATGAATTAAAGAAATTGATTGGAAATAATAATAATAATAATAATAATAATAGTAATATTTATTTTAATAAGTCAATAAGTCAAAACAAAAGTGAGCTAGATTTCTTCACACACCAAGTACTGCTCTAATCAACATACTACGTGCAATGCTAGTACCCATGGAACATCCCCCACCGGTTTTATACAAGTGAATGCCTTTTCCATTCCACTATAAAAACAAAAACAGATTTTTGATATTCTACTACAACAGTGCCCGCTCCACACCGGAAATGTAGGCTTATTCCCTCATCCGTTCTTCTATAAATCAATAGGAGCTTTGGTCTTTAAAACTGGTCTATTCTACTCCTCATGCCTAACCCGCTTAGGCGATGCCTTTTGGCGTATAGTAGAACACTGATACTACTATATTAATAAATTACTATAATTACTATATTAATATATGTAATAATAATAATAGCTTTGTTATTAAAAATGATGCCCCTTGGGGAGTGGTGCCCTAGGCCAATGCCTAGGTGCCTACCCCCCATGGCCGGCTCTGGGTATAAGTTAATCCGGCTAACTAAAATTTAAGTGAGATAATTTTTTCTCATATGTATATATAGATTTCATATTTAGGTTAAGGGATGCTCCCAGAATAAAGTAATGAAATATGGATTTTTTTTTATCACTACCATCTTGGGATAAAAAAACAGACTTCATGTTTCATTGCTTCATTTTGGGAACATCCCTTAACATCATCATCATTTCAAGCAAACACTACCACCTACGGTGGGATAAGGATGGATCCGATGTACGGAACTTTACCCTTGTATTAAAGTACAAAGAGACTATTTCCGGATGACTCATGGTGAAAATCACGTCGAAAATTGCATGAACTGACTGCTGCTTTCGATTTAATTAGTGAACCACTTTACTTTATTTCATCATATTTTGAAGCTAAAAAATAATGCTTCCGATTTAGTTAACCACTTTACTTTATATCATCATATGTTCAAGTTAAAAAACAATGAATCTTTAGCACCGTTTCAAATGATGGAATGGAACATCCATTAAATTGCCTTAATGATCAAATTAGTGATCAACAGTAAAAACATGAAAGTCAAAACTCACGGAATGTACTTATTAAACTCATTTTAGACGGAATTGTGAATATCATAATCAAAACTGATCTGAGGGTTTAATTACCTATAACTAAAATTAAAAGAACCTAGATGATTGACCATATATATAATGTATCTCATGGAGTAATCTAAGTGGTTTACATGCATACATGATTGACACATATATGCAATATAATAGTGCAAACTTTGGTTGCACGAATTTCTTAAGTTAACATATCCTCAATATCATTAGTTTCACATCATATAACTACTGTTTGGACTTTAGATCACTACTGGCCGTTAAAGTAATTCTGCCCGGATGCAAAAATTTGTGAAAAAAGTAGAGTACACTACCAAAATACTCCTAAATTACGTACGCACGTTCTAAGGTACTATTAAAAATTTCTTGGCTTTAATGCATTATATAATTTCTTTCACTTGTGAAAAGTCAAAAATAAATTTTTCCAAGAGATGAACAAATTGATTAGAAGTACCCTATATATTCCGTATTTTCATATAGTTAGGAGAGAATGGTCAATTGAAACATAATTATTGCTAATGCCTAATTTAGGATTTATAATGGTTTAAGTTAGGATTAATTAATTGAAACATTATTTAAGTGTGATGAATTATTATTGTGAATTATGTGAATTTCATTTAATTTAGTGAAAATTAGTTAGTTATACGTAGGTTTAATCGTAGTGACGCATTAAGTTAAATTAATTAGCTAAATTAGTTTAATCTAACACGATATAATAAATAAATATAGATATAATTTGGTATGAACACTCGATTTTTACGTGGAAACCCGAAAGGGAGAAAACCACGGGACTTTTTAGGCTAATGTCCAAGCCTTCTCTCATTCTCATTAATATTGTACTCTTCTGATCACCATTACATAGTACAAGTCATTCCGCTCACATGCATTAATGGATCTCGGATCAGTCAGCCAACAAGCAGTTCTCAAGCCAGCGCAGACAATCTTGATCGGACATGGACTGTGGTGAACTGGTCATCATCGTCTCAACAGCTTCATCACCACCAGTGATAGTGAAGGGCATATTATTAGCCGCAGGAACAAGCAGATCTGATGGTGTGGTACAATTATTGTTGAACCCATTATCCTCAAAATCTTTGGTAGAAAAGTTTGAACCCATAATCAATTTGAGTTCATCTTCGAGATCAAATTGATCAAGCCACTGCATACAGTCTTGAGTGGACATGGCCATGGGCTGTGATGAACTACTCAGCATGGTCTCATCAATTATTTCATGATCACCAGTGATAGTTAAGGCGGGCTGCTCCATGTTATTAGCCGCAGGAACAAGTAGATCATCATGATGTGTATCTGATGGTGTGGTAATTAAATTATTGTTGAACTCCTCCTCCTCCTCATCATAAGTGATGTTCTCCTTTCCATTTTTCTTGTGATAATAAATCTTTACCAGCACATAGTCATCTCCCTGCAACAAATTAAAATGAATTGAAAGTTATTACGTACCTACATACATTGGTCAACCTTAGTCAAAGTTAAAAAAATTCATCAATATATATGATATGATCGATAATCTAGCTAGATCTTCCTTAATTAATTAACTAATAATAGCTGCGTTTATTAGTATGTCATGAACTTACAGTATTATGATTGAGAGTAAACTCTTGCATGAGCCAGTCCGTTTTCAGTCCCTTGAAACCACTCTTTTGTTGAAAGCCTTCGTGATATGCAAATGTCTTCTTGGACCCGATTTCCTTCTTTCCGGCCCGGACCGGATGAGAACCGGATGCCCTCCAATACCCATTCCCGGCTTTCCTGCTCGGCCGTTTCCTTGACTGCTTCACGAAGAAATAGCATGCATCTTCTCCCACTGTCCCGTACTTGCCTGATGATATGATCCAATTCAATTCAATTTCAGATTTATTTATTTGCAATATATATATATATATATATAACTGATCGAGTGAATATATAATTAATAAAACGATGAAATTAATAATAGTCGATCATGAATATATTTGAAGTATAATCAATTGTGATCGATCATGAATAAATGAATAAGATGGAAATGAATAAATAATGGACTTACAAAGAATGTCCCTGGGATGGGTTTCGTAGATATTAATGGTATGAATGATCGGATGAGTGATGGGCACACCCATAATCTTCCCTCTCAAGAAGTAATCCACCAGCTCCAAGTCCGTCGGCCGGAACCGGTACCCCACACCCAAGAAATGGTGGTTATTATCATCGCCGCCGGGTGTCCACGCTGACGCCGCCGTGCCATCCATCATCCACCGCCCACCTGCCTCCATCGATATCATATATACCTTGCACCTAGTGCGTCGACTTGCAGCACACGTACGTACCCTGTAGCTAGTGATGGACTAAGTGATAATGATTGTAATAAAATGATTGAGATGGATGGAAATAGAAACCCTAATAAGCTTTATATATAGTAGTCATACGGAATATTAGTTAGTTAGGTTTCTTAATTAATATCACAATTCCAGTACCTGTTATTTCTAGTTTAAACATTTCATAAATTTTTCTTATTTTATTTAGCTATTAATAATACGTACATGTTAGCATGCATACACCATTTCACCTTTAATTACATACTAGTTTTTTTACCCATATATTTTTACCCATGATCTAATTAAATATTAAAATAAAAATAACTTTTTGGGAGTCTATATTTTCGAGAAATAAGAGTAATTACAATAAGCTAATATCATAAAGTATAAGTCATACAATAAATATTCAATAAAGAGTATATTAGAAAAAATTAATTGACACCACTCATTAGAATTTGCTACCCATTAATTTTCATTATTAAACTAATTTTAAAATCAAACACTATTCTAAAATAGTGAGTACAATACGTAAATGACATAAAGTTTAAGTGAATACAATAAATATTAAAATTCACAAATATTAGTTAAATGGAAACTTGTTAATCGTTAATTAAATTAGTGCCAATATATTAGAGAGAGAAAATTGTCCTACTCAATTGTTAGCCGACATATTTAATGAGTACTTAAAAGGATTACATATGAGAGAAAATTCTAGCGCTCAATTGTTAGCCGGATTATCTTATACCTAAAAGGCTAAAAGCACTATATATGAGAGAAAGAATTAGCATGCTCAGTTGTTAGCCGAATTATCATATACTTAAAAAAAGCTACATATGACAGAGAAAGTTCCTCCGCTCGATTGTTAGAAAATTATTTTCTTATCTCCTCATAACTAAAATCACTACATATGAGAGAGCAAATTCTCCCGTTCAATTATTAGCTAGATAGGCAGTTTATCTTATACCTAAAAGCACTATATATGAGAGAATAAAATTTTCCCTGCTCAATTGTTTGCCGGATTATTTTATACTTAAAAGAGAGAAAAAGTTCTTCCGCTCAATTGTTTTATTTTGGCAAAACTTTCTAACCTATTATAGTCTCTGTTCTAACTTCCGCTCAATTGTAAGAAAGTTTATTTTCTTATCTCCTTATACCTAAAAACACTACATATGAGAGAGCAAATTATCTTGCTCAATTTTTAGCAAGCTTATCTTCTAATCATGTAATCATACCCAAAAGCACTACATATGAGAGATAAAATTATCCCGTTCGATTCTCCTGCTCAATTGTTAGCAAACTTATCTTCTAATATCTAAAAGCACTACATAAGATAGAGAAAATTTTCCCGCTCAATTAAGAAATTGTGTTTTTTTATATATATATTGTGCCCAGAAATTAATGCCACGTTTTTTTAAAATAAATATAGAAGGTGACCTTCCTTTGTTATATTTGTGTATTCGGTTACTTCATTATTATCCTTGAATTCGACACATGACATTTGTAGAGTAGAGGAGTAATTTGTGGGGAGAATGACACATAGGATTTATTAAGAATATAATTGTCTTTAGATGAGCTATTTTTTTCTTATATATATAAATAGACTACATGACTATATTTATCAAGGACCAAAATTACAGGGATTAATAATCCTTAAAACCCATTCAGAAAAAAAAACCTTGCAAAATATATTAAAATTCATAATTCTTGTGACGTTTCATATGACAGTAATATTGCACTTTTTTGAAGGTTTATCAAACAACTTCCTATTTTTTAACAACGATCATCTCGAATTAAGTAAAGAAATAATCTATAACTATGACCCAAATAAGTATAGTAGATAACATGTGACCTATTAACTTTTAATGATTATAATTATGTTTTAGATTTATATCAAACTAACTATAAGGAATAACCTTTGCAATAGATATTTGTGAATATAAAAATGATTATATTGGTTATAATTACACTCAGATAGTCACTTTGATATAATTTTAAAAATAATTATAAATATGTTACTTAATAAACCTTCGGATTTTGTTTTTAAAATTTTATATGCAATATTGGTCTCATATGAAAGATCATAAAAATATGAATTTCGATATATGTTTTGCAAAAAATAGAGCAAAAATGTAAAAGTTACAACACTTTACAGAAAATGGGTTGTTTTTATATGGATGGCCCCTCCAATTTTTATTATATTTAATCCAATGCATAAATTAACATTTTCATATTTAATTAGTGTAGAAGAATTTTATATTTAAGTCTATTACTTTCTTATATATAAACTGATGGTGTTTTTAAAGTGAAATTGTCTGAATCTACCGAAATTGATTAAATTCTGTCTGAAATGATTTTAAAGGAAAACTTTGTTTCTTATAATATCGATAAAAAAATAAAGATAAAGATCATATGTTAAAGATAAAGATCAGTTTTGTGGAACGTAGGAAGTATATAAATATATATAATTTTAAGCATAATTATAGAGACCATTAATAAATTATATTTTTATATATTCAATATTAATCTCATATGAAAGATCACAAAAAAATATGAATTTTGGTATAATTTTTGTAAACATTGGAGTAAAAATGAAAAAGTTATAACACTTTAAAAAAATTGGAATTTTTTACAACTTGGGCCCCACCAACCCCATCTCTCCGCCTCTTCCTTTTCTTGGTTCGGTAGTTTTGAAGTAAAAAAGTGGCCACGTGGCATTTTTATATCAAATGAGCAAATTGTGGAGAGATGGACACATAGGATTAATGAAGGGTATAATTGTCTTTTTATGAGCTATTTCTTTTCTTATATATAATAATAATAAATAGATTTCATACACCGGTGCAGTTAGGGGGGCGGGGCCAACCATGGCCCCGGTCCACCCCAAATTTTAAAAATGTCTGTATTTTTCTATAATTTATTCCAAAAATATTCTCTGTACTGGCCCGATCCCCCCAGTGTCCTCGCTCCGCCCCTGATTTCATATATATATATATATATATATATATATATATATATATATATATATATATATATATATATATATATATATATATATATATGCATCATGACAAACTTAATTAATTAGCTAATAAAACATACTACTGGTATTTGTTATATATTTTGTAATTTACCTGAAAAGATTAGGGCTGGGATTTTGGAACCGGAAACCGAAAAAATGACCGGAACCGAACCGATATAACCCGGTTCGGTTCGGTTCCTGTTTTTGGTTCTAAAAAAATTATCGGTTCGGTTCTTATTAGGACTTATCGGTTCGGTTCCCGGTTTGTCATAAAAAATTGTCCCTGGAACCGATATAGAACCGTTAAGTGTTAGTTCCATCTGAGTAGCTACCAGTTAGTGGGTTGTCTCTATAGCCCACTTATTTTGTAGTTCCGTATTGGAGTATTACTTAAAATTAAAATCCAACTTTCAGCCTTTAGCCCAAAGCAACCTTAAGCCCTTTTCAATCTTCACATTTTACTGCTTAAAGCTAATGGGGAAAACCTAGCCGCTTCGATCATCTATGAGTTGCGGCTCTGCTCTTTCATATTCATACTCCTCCTTCAACGATTTTAATGGCTTCCTCAAACGAGAGGTCTAGGTATGCTTATCTTGCTCTCTGTGTTTCTTTAATTCGAACTTCTGAACCTCCAGACAAAACTATCGAAGATTAATCTAATTAGGTCTTTCCTTCTTGTTTTGGTCAGCGGATTTTCTATACACATCGGAACTTCTGTGTAGAGCAAAGCTCCTCTCCATGTCAATTGTCTTGCTCCGATTTTGCATCACAGTGCTCATTAACCCTACCGTCAAGAGCAAAGAGAAGGTATGTATGTGAATCTCCAAGCTATTTAATTTCTATTTCAATTCATTGTAATATTTGTTTTTCCATATGTGATTTATCATTTATGTGATTCATCTCAGATTCTCAAAAGGATTTATAATTTTCATGAATTTTTGTTTACCCATATCTTATACTCCGTATAATTAAGCATAATTTTAGTTGAAGAACTTAAGCCATCTATGGTCGATTCTATGCTACTACTATAGTGTTTAGGAATTTATGAAATTGTTTATTCAATTTATGTAATTGTTTTTTTTATCAATTTATGTAATTGTTTTTTTATCAATTTATGAAGTTGTTTTTTTTATCAAATATATAGTGTTTAATTAATTTTTAAAATTGTTTTTTTATCAAATGTATTAGTGTTGGATATAATACGTTATTGAATAAACTATGTTTTAGATCACTGTTGTGCACTAAAAACTCAATATAGACAATTTGTATTTCTGTATTCTGAAATGGGAGTTTTTATATCCCCATCACCAAAACCATTAAATAGTTTTAATGATGGATACTTTTAAAAGAACCAGTGTGTGTTTTAATTATTATTATTATTATTATTATGACTATTATTATTATTATTATTACACTACATTCTTAATGTTAATTTAAAATAATTCTTTCAGGTTTTAGTTGCTTGAAGCTGTGGGCATCTACAACACTCTTGTTGCTCCATCAAAACTGTATTAGGATATTCTAATTATGTATTGAACAAATTGGACTTTTTGTTAAGTTTTCAACTTGTAATATTTGAACATTGGTGTTTTCAACTTATGTACTATTGAAAAAAATTGTACTTTAAGGAACCGATAAAATGCAAGAACCGAACCGATAAGATATGATTCGGTTCCATAACGGTTCTTCATTTTTTTAACTAGAACCGAACCGATTTTAAGAGATAGATATTTCTTAACGGTTCCACCAATTTTAAAGAGGAACCGAACCGGTCCCAGCCCTAGAAAAGATGTTTGGAAATGATAACATCACATTGCATTTATGTCAATTTCAATTAAACCAGACTACAATGTACATTTTACTCGATTCATTTAAAAAACAATTACAACATTAATTCATACCGCCAACTCTTTTAGTTTTCTTTGAATATTTTATGTGATATAGATACCGGATTTTAAATTTATATTTTTGTGAGAGGTGAATCTTTTATCTAGAAGTTGAAAAGATGCTACACGTTTTCACGACATAAATCTT